CTACCTGGGTGCTCGCCGGCGGCGGGGTTGGCGGGAGGTGCTGCGCTAGGCTAGAGGGAGCACGGGAGCGGAACGGAGCGGATACCGAGGGATATTGGCTAGTTTTAATAAGTTAACTTAAAATGTTCTAATTGATGGTTGTCCGACATGTATTGGATCACGGTATCCGTGCGCTTTTGTTGTAGCTAATTTGCTGATCGATGATGTGAGACTGTAATGCCATTTTTTCTTGAGGAGAGGATATTGCGATTACTGAACATTTATCTATCTCCAGTTGAATTTGGCAATGCGATTGATAGATTGTATACATATTTCCTGTGTTATTTGAAGTTGCCAAACTATTTTAGGCCACGCCAGTCTCTAAATTGAGGACATCAAGCCAATGCTGCCGTTGTGCATTGAAAATAATCAAATATATCTAAATGAAGATTATCTTTTAAATAAAAAATCAAAACCTCATCTTACCACATCGTAGAGTTATTCCCGACATAAATTAGGACAAGATTACTATTATTTAAATAAAATGTTGCTTCCTAGATTTGTTTCTACAAACACCTGTGAAAATAATGCAGGTCGTAGATTCTATGGTAGTTGAGAGAGCTCGTGGCGAATCACAAAGTACATCTGGATCTCTCCAGTCTCTATGTTGGGGGTCCTCGGCATTTGGTGGAATTGTGAGCGCATATTTCAGTGGTTCGCTTGTGGATGCATATGGAGTAAGGTTCGTCACATAGCTGCCTGTAACCTACTGAAGCTCCACATGTTCTCTGGTGCAGTACACTGATGAAAATATTTCTGTAAACACAGATTTGTCTTTGGTATTACGGCATTTTTACCATTGATGACATCTGCTGTTGCAGTTCTTGTAAATGAACATCGCCTGACTCCTGGAGAACATGCTATGTCAGTCTCTGGTTCAGGATTCATTGAGAGCTCAATACAGCACATCAAGCAGCTATGGACTTCTGTAAAGCAACCTAACATTTTCTTGCCGACCTTGTTTATATTCCTCTGGCAAGCAACACCACACTCAGAGTCAGCCATGTTTTTCTTCATGTATGTATCAGGTTGCCACAATTTAACACAAGTCTGTGATTACAGTATCTCTGATGGCGTACATGATTATTGTTTACTGTTGTGTGGGAGCTAGTTTTAAATGCCGTACAGTAGTTCTATGAAATATAAATTACAGCAGGTTACTAGATCCTTCCTCTAGCTCATCCTTAATTGGATCAATTTGATTACATAGGTTTGACGTTTGAGGTACAACAAAACATCAACTAGAGAAATTGCCACAAGAAATTGATGATCGTAGTTAAGCTCTACATTGTTATATCTAGGTTGCGTTTTAGCAGGCTGGTTAGCGTATGCATAACTTTCCATTATGTATTTCAAAATGTATGATTACTGTTTATCTTTGTAATGTTTCTTAGTTGATTGAACTTTCATGCTCCCTTATTGTTGATCTCAGCACAAATAAGCTTGGATTCACTCCAGAGTTTCTAGGGCGTGTAAAACTCGTTACTTCCATTGCATCCTTGCTCAGTGTCGGAATTTATAACTATTTTCTGAAGGCAGTTCATCTGAGGAAAATATTTCTTGTGACAACCATCATAGGTTCAGCCCTTGGAATGACACAGGTGTTCATTTTGCTTTTATTTCAGTGCAGCGGCAGTTATTTTGCATCCTTCCAAGTTAAAACCTTAGTGTGTTGTATGTCCTCCAGGTTCTTCTTGTCACTGGGCTTAATAGGCAGTTTGGGATCAGTGATGAGTGGTTCTCCATTGGAGATTCGTTAATCATCACGGTCCTTGGCCAGGTATGTAACACGACTACTTTTGCTGAATGGCAAACTCTTATTTATTTGGTATTACTACATTTACTGCAGGACGTGAAAATTTTAGTTCATTGCATAATAATAGTGACATGAAGTCTAGTTGCTCTTCATATGCCTGAAAATAAGCCTGGCCAATTTGAACTTTCACAAGTTGTAATTCTCAGCATTACAACCACTCCGAGGAAAGCATTCTCCTGTCCCAATGTAGTTACATCATATCATTACTTAAGTTTTGTCGTCAACTTATCTGGCTTTGAACTGTTCTTACAATGCTTCCTTGTGCCTTGAGTTCTCCTTGCATGTAACTGTATATAACCTGGATTATGTTGCAGGCTGCATTTATGCCAGTTTTGGTGTTAGCTGCAAAATTGTGCCCTCCAGGAATGGAGGCGACTTTGTTTGCCACTTTGATGTCCATTTCTAATGCTGGAAGTGTTACGGGTGGTCTTGTCGGTGCTGGTCTAACAAAGATTTTTGGAGTCACTAGGGAAAGCTTCGGAAATCTACCTCTGTTGATTATTGTATGCAATCTCAGTTCCTTGCTGCCCTTGCCTCTTCTAGGTCTCCTTCCAGACGAAACAGGAGATTCAGATAATGAAGAAACAAAACACAGCTGACTGAGGTTGTCTTTTATAATGTGTTCAAATTCTCAAGTATAGTATGGCTTAGCCCCATTTCAACTGAGGTAATAGACATGGCTGTTCCCCAGTACTAGTTCAGCAAATCAGTAGGGAAATATGATATACTACAGTTTTCACTGCTGTCATGAAAACACCAAGATCAATCATCTTGATTTGGTTATCAGAAAATGGAACCCGATGCTATGGAGCACAGGTACTTCTCTTTCTTTTATGTAGCCAACATGTAACAAGACAATGTGATCTCTATGTAACTAATGTAACCCCATGAAAAGGTTGAATAGTAACCTAACTCCCTTACCGATTTTGGATATTTTACCCTGTGGGAGCTGTACTATGGGAAGTATAGATTATGAAGAAACAAATTATTTCAAAAAATAAAATAAAATTATGAAGAAACAAACACATCTCCATACCGTGGATTGTGATACAATACCAGGTCTTCTTTTAACATTATATTTCCATCTGGATGCATCCCATTAAGGTGAGGAACAAATAGGAACTGCAAGCACATCTCTATCTCTACTACTATAGTACACAATTTTTTGAATTTTGAATCTACCTTCTTCTTGCATGTTTTGCCCACCAACTTACATAATGGGTTCATCTGTAGCCGTCCACTTTATCAGATCGAACGGCCCACATTACCCGGATTCGCCACCCACCTAATCCCGCCAAAGCCTGAACTCAGTCGCCTCTTCTGGAAGACTCCACAACCCACGCTCGCCTCCAGCAAATCTATTCCCGCCAAGGCTCCAGCAATTCGATTCCCCGCCAAGGCGCAGCCTCGCTCACTTCACCACCACATCCATATGCTCTGTGTGAAATTTCTCTAGCGTGTACATCTCACACCACGATCTCCGCCAGTTCATAACCGCCGGCCACGCCCCCAGCTCCTTCCAATCACCTCAGCGTACAGATTGCAGCTTCACCATCGTCTCCTTGCAAGCTCTGACTTGGTTCGATTTTTCTTGCCGCCTGGTGAGTCCAGGTTCATGAGAGCTGGACATCCTCCTACAACCAGCTGACCATAGTGCCACCGACGGACCACAAGTGAGCTATTCCTTCTCTAGGTGTCCCATCCTAATCTGTTCCTTTGGAATTCTGTGATGATTCTTTTGCGTGCGAATGTTGCGCAAGTTATCCTTCTTGCTATCGATTATATGAAATGCATATTCACTGGTCTGATTGTGGCTGTTGATTTTTTCTGCTTTTCTTGCACGCAAGGTGTTTGTGCTTTTGTCCAAGAAGCTATCTGTTGGTAGACTATAAAAGGCAGTGCTATCTGAACATAAAGCATATGTTCATTCTGTTCATGTCTCATAGCTGTTTGCAAATTTGAGTATGCTTTAATTATTTTTCTCGGATTTGGCAACCTAAAAATGGTCTAATGCTTATATACTGTAGGTTGTGGCTGAAAACACCTGGCTTCTAACAATCAAGAATCGAAGTCATAACCGCTAGCTGTCCAGTAAAACCCAAGAGATGGAAGGCCGAATTCCTTTCAGAGATATTACAAATGTTCACTCGATGACTTCACCAAAAGGGAACCAACGTACGTTTTTTGTAATATGTCGATATCTTCTACTTATTATCCATATTGATCGCTTGCCTTGATATACTGTGTGTTTTTTGTTTGGTGGGGAAATAGTAGCTGCGGTTGCAGAGCAGAATGATCCTTTAGCAGAAACCAATAAGGCTATCCAAATGAATTCTTCCCAGCGTAAGCGTTACCGCGACCGGGATAGGTATTTGCAAATGACTCCATATCAGAGGGAAGCCTATCTGCAAAGGAATCGTGAGTATAAAAGAATGCGGCGTGAGTGCAGTGCAATTTGTAACAACACACAACCAGCACCACAACAGAAAATTTTGAGATCTAATAATAAGAACCAATCCATGACAGGTGACTGTTCTAATCAATAAAATATGCATTACAAACTTTATCAATGGCCGTTGAATGTTCGTTTATCTTTTTTATTATGCGATGTATAATTATTGGGTAAATTGAACCTACATTACAGGAGAGGAAGTCGTGGGCAGTTCAAACTATGAGAGGCACGATTCAGTATTTACTCAACTAGGGTCTTCATCAAAAGGCAAACAAGGTTGTGATATATAATTAATTAACAAATATCTACTATACAAATTTATTTATTATATTTCATTACACTGCCGTTGACTATTTTTCCTTGAAAACTGTGGCAGATAGTGGTGGTTCTGAGACAAGCCGTCCAAAAGCTGGAACTCGGTTCACTATCAGTCCATCTGGCATATATTTATCCTCGATATCCTCGCAAGAACAAGCTACAAAGTATGAATTGAAAAATGTGGGTCAGCGTAAGCGACAGCATTGCACCAATGTGTACTCACAACTATCACATGATCAAGAAGAAACACATGTACAAGAGATTTGTGGCCCTAATAAAAGAAAGAGGTCAGAAAAAGGAAGTTGTAGTACTGCACGGGATCCTGGTAGAAATACCAACAACTTGCATGAAGACATCATTTATGTGCCCCAGGATTATTTTCCTGTCATTCATGGTAATTTTAGTCATAAAAACAATGATTTAATCTATATGTAGCACATAACAATTATTTCATCTATTTACATCTAGATATAATTTGTCAACAGATTATCTGGCAAATACCGAAGACAACATTGAGTGCGATGAGGTGGATGATGAAAGTCTTATGTATAATGGGCCAGGTAAGTATTGACTGGTACTTTGCTCAATCATTCATAGTTATTTGTAATACTTTAATAAAATATTACTTTAAAAAAAATACAGGTCTTGACTTTGAATCATATCAAGAACCAAAGCTTGTTACAAGATGTATACAAGCAGATCCATATGATCGTATATATCATAATGTGCCCAGTGGTCATCATTTTCTAGAGCGAGTGCCCAACTGTAGACATTGTAATGCGAAAAGGTTCCCATATGAGACACCAACTTTTTGTTGCATGAATGGAAAGGTGAAGATAGTAACCCCAGTGGTTCCTGAAGAATTGCGTCAGTTGTACACGAGTCAGGATCCAAATGCAAAATACTTCCAAGATCATATACGGTACTTCAATTCTCATTTCTCTTTTACCTCTCTTGGTGTCATCTTGGACCAAAGGTTCTGCAATAGGAGGTCTGGAGTTTACACCTTTCGTGCACAGGGCCAAATTTATCACCGTATTGACCAGTTGGTTCCAAAAGAAGATGGCCCCAAGCATTTACAGTTATACTTCTATGACACGGATGCAGATTTGCAACAAAGATTTCTTCACTCGCCTAACTTAAACCAAATTCTCATCCGGAAGTTGGTAAATATACTTTCAAGTAACCCTTATGTACAAATATTTAGAAACCTTGGTTCTATTCCAAACCTTGATGAATATATGATTGAGCTCAACACAAATATTGCCTTAGATCAGAGAGTATATAATGCTCCAACAACATCACAAGTAGCAGCAATCTGGGTTGAGGGAAATAATCCTCGAGGTCATTTTGACAGGAGTATCATGGTGTATGGTAAATCGGACAAACCACAGTACATAAAAGCATACCATGGTTGCTATGACCCATTGTCATATCCGCTTTTTTTCCCGAAAGGGGAAGTTGGATGGAACTTGAATTTACCAAAAGTTGGTCCCCATGCTAGGAGGAAGAGAGATGATCAAGCAAATGCTCTCAACGAAGAAGGCAAGTTTTTTGTCAAGTATACTTTTTTATTACGTTGTTTCAGATTCATTTATCTAACCATAAATTGCCTTGCACGCAGGGATGGAAAAGAGCCCTGGTTCTTGTGTGTCACCAAGAGAATATTATTGTTATAAGTTACAAATTCGAGATGGTGATTTCAACGTCTTACTATTCGGAAGGCGATTAACTCAACAGTATATTGTTGATATGTACATCAAGATTGAATCAATAAGGCTGGCTTTCTATTTACAACCGTCAACTCAAGTTCTCATACGTGCAGATTTATATCAAGGATTGGTTGATAGCGTTGTAGCTGGTGAGACACGTGCATGCATGACAGGAAAGCGTATTGTGCTCCCCCCAAAATTTATTGGAGGACCAAGAGACATGCGTCGAAGGTATCTAGATGCAATGGCATTGGTCCAGCGATTTGGGAAGCCAGACTTATTCATTACAATGACATGCAACCCGCAGTGGGAAGAGATAACTAGAGAGTTGGAACCAGGCCAATCACCACAAGATCGTCCAGATTTGGTAGCACGAGTCTTCAAGGCAAAGTTGGAGGATCTTAAAGATCTTTTATTCAAGAGAAAATTATTTGGTGAAGTCGCTGCACATGTTCATGTAATAGAATTTCAGAAGAGAGGCCTACCGCATGCACACTTCTTAATTATTCTGAAGTCAAATTGCAAGATTACTAATCCAGATCAATACGATGAGATAATATCAGCAGAGATCCCAGATAAAGACAAATACCCTATATTGCATGCTTTAGTTATTAAGCACATGATGCACGGACCATGTGGAGTTCTCAACAGTAAGAATGCTTGCATGGAAAATGGAAATTGTAGATACCATTATCCGCGGACATTCTCAGATACAACATTACAAGGAAAGGACTCATATCCAATTTATAGACGGAGGGATGATGGTCGTCGAGTGCGCATTAGGGGTGCGGTCTTGGATAATAGATGGGTTGTTCCTTACAACCCATATCTACTTATGCGATACAATTGCCATATCAATATAGAAGTTTGCTCTAGCATTAAGGCTGTTAAATATTTATTTAAGTACATATACAAAGGTCATGATCGCGCCTCCTTTGTCATTGAGTCCAGAGGAGATAATGTTGTTATAGATGAGATTCGTGAATATAGGGATGCAAGGTTTATATCACCTCCAGAGGCAATATGGAGGATTTATTCTTTCAATCTAAGTGAGATGTCACCTCCAGTTTTGCAGTTGCAGGTCCATTTGCCAAATATGCATCTTGTGCATTATGAA